TCGGCGGTCATCGTCCGTCAGCGGCCCTCGCCCGCGCCCCTCGACTCGCCCCGCTCTCCGCCTGGCCCCTCGGCTTCCCCGCGGCCGCCGCTCGCTGGCCTCCGCGCTCTCGCCCCTCAGCTCCCTCCTTTTCTCCTCCCGTATCCGACTCTCGGCTCCGCTGTCCGCTGGTCTTCGGGGATGATCCGGTCGGCTCGGTGACGCTCAAAGGGCGCGATACAAAAAAAAGTCTCGGGTAAGCGGGCAAGTAAAAAAAAAGGCGTGTTTGCGACCCCGGGAGGTTTCCCTACGGCCTCGCGCGGATCCTCTTTTCCCGGGCGGACCGACACCGCGCCTTGGGACGGCAGCGGGGAGCTGGCACGCGGCAGCTACTCCGCCACGTCACAATGCATAGACCTAATATATGTTCAACCCTTGCCGATCAAGCGAAATCAGGCAGCGGGCCTTACAATAGATAGGCCGGAGGCACGAGAGGGAGGCGGGGAACACGTCTTCGTTAACAAAGGGCAACAGTGCTCAGCGTATAAAATCTCGTTTATTGTGTCACTCGCTAAAATAGTTTCACAGGTTCGCAGGCCATCGGCCTATCGCCTCTCTTTCGCGCGCAATACTGACGACTCACTCCTATCGACGCTAATCAAGACTTCTCGTGCTTATCGTCCGAATATCGCTGCCGCAACTGACTCCGAAAGTGCGGATTCCTTAGCGTTCGACTCCGCGTGCCCCCGTTCCCAGGCTACTCGGTCCACCAGGCAGCGAGGGGAGATCAGGGAAATAACCGGGCACGCAGCAAAACAAATACGCTGTAATAAACAGATTCAGACAAGCAGGGTGCAAACTATGTATATAATAATGAAAATCGCGAACATATACCGCCCGCCTCGTCTTATAGACGAAACGATTGGTGTTAAAGGCAGGGAACCGCCCGCCGTGACGCTGAAGGCCACTCGAAAGCCTACTGAGGCCTGTCTGCGTCTCTTTGTACAGGCAGGGGCACGAGTTTCGTGGTCGGTCGCTTCAATACTGAAGCAGACGTCCTGACGCTTGCTACTCGGACGAGACCATCGGGTCCCGGGTAGAGAGCGGTGATTCGGGCAAGCGCCCATTTGGTGGGCGGTTGCAGCTCGGTTTTAAGTAGAACTAAGTCATTCACGGCCAAGTTGGGTGCTGGCTGTCTCCAGCGATTCAATTGCTGCAGATGGTGGATATATTCGGACGACCATCTGCGCCAAAAGTGATCGCGCATGGCGGTGGTCAGCGACCAGCGCGTGGTCACGCGATTGGAGGCAGGATCAGGCGCTCGGGGCTCCGGTACGGCTGTCAATGATTCCCCGATCAACAGGTGACCCGGGGTCAAGGCAACAAGGTCAGAGGGGCTGCTGCTGATGGCATACAACGGCCTAGAATTAAGGCAGGCCTCGATCTGCGCCAACAATGTCGTCAGCTCCTCGAAGGTGAGACAAGCGTCTCCGATGACCCGCCTCAGGTGGTACTTCACTGACTTGACGCCAGCTTCCCACAATCCTCCAAAGTGGGGGGCTCCCGGAGGAATGAAGGCCCACTCCGTGCCGTCGTTGGCAAGGCTCGACGCGAACTCCGTGTAGAAGGTGGAGGCTGCTCGGAACATCGCCCTTAACTCCCCAGCCGCTCCTCTGAAGTTCGTCCCGTTATCGCTGTTAAGGCGTTGGCAGCGGCCTCGACGGGAAATAAAAGGTCGAAATGCCGCGAGAAAGGAACCGGAGGAGAGATCAGACACAGCCTCCAAATGAACGGCCTTGGTGGACAGACACACGAACAGGCAGACGTAGCCCTTAACGGGCTTATGTCCGCGCCCCTTCCAGGTGCGAAGGGGCAATGGGCCGGCATAATCAACGCCTGAGGACCAGAAGGGGCGACTGGGTCGCGTGCGTTCCGGAGGCAGATGACCCATCTATTGTTCGGCGTTGACTCCTCGTATCGGGTGCAGCGCACGCAGCCATGAACGACCGAGCGGACCAAGGAACTCGCCTGCAGGATCCAATACCGCCTCAGGAGAAGGCTCCGGGTCAGCTGGGACCCTCCGTGAAGTGAGTTCGCGTGAGCCTCGCGCACAAGGAGAAGCGCAAGGTGATTTCTTTTGGATAAAACGTAGGGATGCTTTTCGTCAAATGGGAGGAGCGCTTGCTGAAGGCGACCGCCCACTCGCAGCAGTCCCTCTGGGTCCAGGAATGGACGAAGCGGTAATAGCGGCGATCTGGCCGGAAGCGGCCATTTATCCCTGAGGCAGGCTGTCTCCTGCGGGAAGTCCTCCTCTTGGGAGATCCGCACCCACCGCTTACGGGTTGCACCCAGCTCCTCCGCCGATAGATAGCCTGACCTCTTCTCGGCAGAGCGCGCATTGTGCGCAAACCTAAGACAGAAGGCGGACACACGCAACAGTCGCATCATTTCTGAATAACGACGCATGATGTCGTTGCCGTCTTCCGGTCTGGCGATGAGCGTCGCTTGTGGGCGGAGCTCCTCCACCGCAGCATCGTCGTCGGTCGGGCCAGGTTCGGCCGTTGAATAATCCGCACTCGTAAGCCAGGACGGCCCAGTCCACCAATTATCAAGGCTCGCCAATTCCGCAGGCGGAATGCCCCGCGTAACCGCGTCCGCCGGGTTGTCCCTTGACGGCACGTATCTCCACTGCGCCGGAGGGACTAAGTCCTGCACTTCCGCCACTCTGTGTGCAACGAACGGCTTCCAACGCGCAGAGTGGGAACGAAGCCACGCCAGCGTCACTGTCGAGTCAGTCCACGCATAGATTCGGGCGTTCTCCAGCTCCAGCGCGCGTGCGGTTGTGCGTAGGAGGCGTGCCAATTCTCGGCTCCGCACAATTCCAGTCTGGGTATGGAGACCGTCTTGACCGGTGCCACCCTGGTCTTGGCGATCAAGAGGTTTACCGATACGACACCTGTAGAGCTCATACAGCGGAGGTAAACGGTTGCTGCATAGGCGCGGTTGGCGGCATCTGAGAAGCCATGCAGCTCGGCTGTGCTTCCCGGCCCAGGGTAGTCCACGAAGCGTGGAATGCGGTGCAACTCCAGTTGAGGCAAGGCGGCGGCATAACTCGACCACACGGTCCGAAGTTGTTCCGGCGAAGGGTCGTCCCAGGCGAGTCCAGCCATCCAGAGATCCTGTATAAAAATTTTACCAAAAATTAGAACAGGAGCGGCCCACCCGAGCGGGTCAAAGAATCGCGCCACGTCCGACAACACCGTCCGCTTAGTAGGGGCATCCACCGATCTGACAACGGCCACCCGCAGAGAGAAGCAGTCGTCTCGAGGAGACCACAGGACACCCAGGGTGCTGACTCCTTCGCGATCGTAAAAGACCTTCTCGTTATACTCTCCGGGGCAGAGTTCGGGGATATTTGCCGCCCACTTGATCAGGTCGAACCCGTCAGCGGCGAGGATCGCTTGCGTTTGACGCTTGATTTCCAACGCCTCCTCACGGGTGTGGCCACCTGCCAGAATGTCGTCCACGTACGAATGAGTCCTGATAGCGCTGGCGCCGCGGGGAAATCGAGGACCTTCGTCCTCAGCTAGCTGTAGAAGCGTCCGCAGTGCCAGGTAGGGGGCTGAAGCGGTGCCGTAGACCACCGTCCGCAGGTGGTAGTCCTGCACCTCCTTGGTAGGATCCGATCGCCACAAAATGCGTTGCAAATCGGTGTCGTCTTGGTGGACTAAGATCTGTCTAAACATCTTCACGATGTCCGTCGTGAAGACGTATCTGAAAAGGCGCCAGCGGGAAAGGGTCACCCAGAGTTCAGACTGCAACTTCTTCCCGGCGAGAAGCAGGTCGTTGAGTGAATAGCCCGTGGCAGAGCGGTATGACGCGTTGAAGACAACGCGTATCTTCCGTGACGGATCTTCATTCTTAAAGACCGCATGATGCGGCAGATAGTAGGCTTCGGGTTGGTGTATCTTCGCGGCAGGAACAGCGGACATGTGACCCAG